CTGTGAGTGCATTTGTGCAAAGGAGACAAGACCCTCTGTCAGCTGGGCAGGATTGTTTTCCCAGGACTGAGTCAGGCAGCTCGGCGGTCTCCTGGGGCCTCCGGAGCCTCCCACCAGTCCTTGGCCATGACTGGAGGAGGGGGCCAGGGGCTGGGTCAGTCCCCTCCCCGGGCAGCCATCTGCCAAGGCAGGAGGACGTGTGAGCACACATGTCGCACGCAGCATCGCGGGGCCGTCCCTGTACTACCTGGTTTCACAGGCACTGAAGACAAAGGGCCCGAGGAAGGCCCAGCCTCTCCTCAGACCCCCAGTCATGGCACTGGAAGATTCTCAGGCCCTCTGCCCATCCCCCATCAGGGGCATCTGGAGCAGATGGAAAGCCCCCCAACGCACACCCCAATGCTGGAATCACTTCACATCCCCGTGCCCCCAGGCTCCTCCCAGCCTGACCACCAGTTAACCAGAACACTCCATCCCATCTGGGAGGGGAAGGAGGAGAAGGCCAGAGCTCCGGCCCCTCAAGATGCCCAGAGCCGAGGCCCCTTCCCTGCCCAGCCTGAGGGAGCTTGGAAGAGAAGCATCCTAGGGTGCTAGGATGGCAGATCCGGCTCCGGGGCTCCCTGGGGGCCAGCTGGGTAGAGGCCCCCCCCAGAGCTCCCCTGGGATGGCCCCATACCACTAGTGCTGGAATGCGAAGAAGGGCCAGGGGCCCCTGCAAACCTCGGCCAGGCCTCACCTCCCCCACAGAGCAGTCTGGAGTTAAGGCCAGTGAAAGGGTGAGGTTTGGGGGCCAAGTATACACAGCTGCTGGGGCAGCTTGGGTTCCCCTCCAGAACAGGATCCCTTGTCAACCCAGGCTGGGAAACTGACCACCAGGTACCACCCCACCAGCCAGAACAGATCCAGGAACTTGGGCCCAGAAGACCACTGGCCCTATTCCAGCCAAAGCTTTAGTTTCCTTGTTTGTCAGTGATCAATGGATCTTCCTCACTGGGCTGATATGGCAATTCTAGGTGACAGATGTCAAGCCCTGCCAAGTTCCCGGGGCTGCTGGAAGGTGGGAATTTTCTCTGGGAGTTGCTCTCCCCATGCCGCTCCTTCCCCAGACCCCCTGCCTCCCTAGGGACCTCAGCAGGCACTGTCGTGAGCTGGAGAACAGCAGAGGTTTGCAGAGCTGGGCTGGAGCCCCAGAGAGAATGGGGGTCTCTCTACTCCAGGCCATGCCCCTACACAGGACCCCCCAGCAGCCCATCCTCTCCTGTCCCAGCAGCAAAGCCTCAACCCTGGTGGGTCAGCAGAGCACCAGAAGTGCTACTGGAGGTGGGAAATACTGAGTCCCCGGCCCTAGCAGCACCTGACTCAGAATTCACCAGGCTGGCGCCGAGGCGGGGGTTGGGGGGATGTGTCCCAAGGGGCTTTGCAAAAGCTGTGCTCCTCCACACCCAGGTTTGATGGCAGGCTGGGGAAAGGCCGGGCATCCCATCTCAGAGAGGGGATGCCCCACACCTATTGGGGCCATAGCAAGGGAACCAACTCAGGCAAGGGAGAGCTGCCTCTTTCTGGCTGGCCCTGAGCTGCCCCCTCACCAGCCATGGGCGTTCCCCACCTCCAGGTGAAGGGGGGATCGCCAGGCACCTTCCACCAGTCACCCTCTGGCCTCCATCATCTGTGTGAGATATAAAATCACATTAAGAACCCTAACTAGAGGGGCGCCTGGGTGGCTCAGTGAGTTAAGGTCAGGTCATGATCCCAGGGTCCTGGGATGGAGCCCCGCATCAGGCTCTCTGCTCAGCAGGGAGCCTGCTTCCTCCTTTCTCTCTGCCTGCCTCTCTGCCTACTTGTGATCTCTGTCTGACAAATAAATAAATAAAATCTTTAAAAAAAAAAAAAAAAGAAAAGAAAAAGGAACCCTGACTAGAGGGAAGCACCCCCTGCAGCCTCAGAAAAGCTTCTTGCCCCCATTCCACCCAGCTCAGGGCCTCCCGGCTGCAGGCTGAATGCCCTGCTTGGATGAGGGGCCTCCACGGCCTCCCCTCCAACCTGGCCCCGTATGCAACCTGGGGAGACATCCGGGGCCAGAGGGGAGAGCCAGGAGCAGCCATCTCCCCCACCAAACCCCAGTGTGCCTCCCAGCACCAGGGCCCCACCCCAAATGCCTCCCAACCAGCTCCTCGGCAGGCGGCAGGCCCCAGCCCCAACATCTGGTCCCCCAGCCACAGCTGTCGCCACCCTCCCTCATCCTGGGATTGCCCCAAACTCTGCCCAGCGCCCATCCCCACCCCACCCCCCTCGCCCAAGTGGGAAATTCGGATTCCAGGCCAGTCCGGGTAGATGAAAACGCACATGGGAAAATGTCGTCAGGAAAACACATTCTTCCTTCTATACCACAGTTCAGACCCCAGGAGGATTAGGTGGCAGAAGACACTCCCACCGCCTGGGGCCAAGGCCAGGCCGGGGAAGGAGGGGAGAGGGGAGTGTGGGAGCCACAAGGTGGGGCTGAGAGTAGTCCAGGGCCTCTGACAGGCCCCAAGGAGGGTCCCTGGCAGAGCTCTGTCCTCCTGCAGGCGGGTTCGCCCTCCACGGGCACTCCCAGTGAGGGGAGCCCAGGCAGGAGACACGGCTGTGGCTACCCCATCTGCAGCTGGCTTCTGAGAAACAACAAAAGCTTTGGGGGGACGCGGTTCCCATGATTGTTTGAAATGAGGTTTCTGGATGTCTGCGGCATCCAGTTGTTCATACTGGCTCCACCCACGGATAATTGAGAGTTGGCTTTTGTTGGCCTGACCCCACTTCTCAGTACCCCCCCCCCAACAAATTTTCTGAGGGACTCTAGCTCGGGAAGTTCACCTTGTCTGACTTCTTGGTTTTACGGATGAGGAAACTGAGACCCAGAAAGGGGGTGAGAGGGAGCTGCCCCACCGGCCCCCGGGAGTTGGTGGCCTGGCCCAAACTCCAATCCAGGAGATCAGATTCCCAGGCCAGGGGCTTTTCCCACTCACCCTCAATGCTGTGGCCTGGCTCAACCGAATCCCCCAAAGCCACCGACTCTAAAAGCAGTGGTGCCTGGAAGTGGGGTGACTCACAGTCTGGCTTCCTGGGGCACCCCCTCCCCATCAGTGAGGGAGGGACTGGCAGGTGTCCCTGTGTAGAGAGCCAGGAGCAGGGAGAGGCCCCCCAGGGGACCTGGGCCAGGGTCACTCAGGGGCCAAAGAGCCCCAGCTGGAGGGATTTAACACCAAAGGTCAAAGGTCACAGACAGGGAAGGGTGGGCAGGCTCTGGGGGTCAGAGGGTCAGCGCTAATGGCAGCTCCGGAAAGGAGGGGGAGGGTAAGGAGCTAAGGAAAACAGGGCCGCTTCCAAGGGGTCCTCAACCTCCATAAACTGTGCCCCAACCCCCTGGCACTGCCTCCTGTCTGGCTGGTTGTGGACAGGGCCAAGTAGACCTGGGGGTGGGTTGTAAAATGGACTGGGCTAGAGCTTGGAAAGGGGTGTCCTGGGAAGGGCTCCCCAGGTGCAGCCCTTCCCCCAGAGTGGGCGAGGGCCAGCTGGGAGGCCCAGCCCAGGCCCAGAGGGGAGAAGGAGGAGCAGAGGGGGAAGGCTCCGAGGTCACCGGGGAGGGATGTGTGGGGAGGGACGTGTGGGACGGGCTAGAACAGCTGTGGCACTGTGGCACCAGGAGCGGGGCTTGGAGGGGACTGGGTGGGTGGGCAGACGGAAGGGGTCAGTTTCCCCTTCTCTGAGCTTGGGAGCTGTGAAAGGCCCTGGGGGACCGGAGTGTCTCCAGCTGACCCTCAGCTTCAGCTAAGCCCCACCTTCCCTCCAGGACGTAAGACCCTCAGGAAGGCCACCTCTGAAGACCACAGCTCAGGCCCTGTCCCTGGCCTAGACCAAGAGCCACGAGAGCCCAGGCCTTGGCCAGGTCTGCGGCCGGCCTGGCTGCCCCCTCAGTGTCAAGCTTTCCCTTCAGAGCCAAGATCCTGGGCTGTGATGGCTGGGGGCCCAGGGCTCCTCCCAGGATCCCTTCCCGCTTCCCAGGCTCCAGGGCAGGGCCAGGATCCCTGCAACCATCACTGCCCCGGGTGGACAGGCCAGGCGGTCCTTCCTGGACAGGCAGACAAGCAGCATGCTGCCCTGCTGTGGCCTGAGTACCCGACAGGCCAGGGCAGTGTGCCAAGGCCTCCAGGTGCCAGCCTGGCTTCCAGCCCCACTCCCGGGGGCCTGCGGGGAAGCAGGGTGCCTGTATCTCCCTCCCTCGGGATGCACCTGCCTGCCTCGCCCCCTCCCCCACTCCCTCCGGACCCTTCTTCAGGCCCTTTGGATACCCCTGCCCTCTTCACTTTGCCAGCTTCTTCTGCTTCCACCCAGACAGCAGTGGAGGAGGAGCAAGTGCCAGACAGGACTCCGGCTCCCAGGCCCAACGCGGCTGCACCCCGTCCTGACCCCCAGAGACGCCTCCCTCCCCCGGCCGGGGAAGGGCCCAGGCTAACCAGGCGCAGCAGTGGGGAGACTTTCCGGGACAAGGGAGGAGACACCTTTCAAACCCCGTCCTAGAAACAGCCCCGGCGCAGCCCTGGGAAGGGGCGACTGCCCGGCTGCCCCAGACAACTTTGTGCCCAGGCTCCGGGGGCCCCCCTCACCCTGCAGCGCGCCCCCACCGCGGCCGCCCAACTTCCCCGCCGAAGTTTGCTCCCGCCGTGGGCCCGGCCGTGGGTCGACCGGGCCTCCGGACGGAGGGAGGGAAGGAAGCACGAGAGAGACGGAGAGACGGAGGGACGGGGCCAGGGAGCCGGCGAGGGAGGGAGCGCGCGAGCCAAGCGAGCGAGGGAGCGAGCGCAGGGGCCCCGGCGAGGGCTCACAATGGCCCGGGGCGAGGCGGGGACGCGGGAGGAGGAGGCGACCCTGGGGTCCCGCAGCCCCCTGCAGGCCCCCGCGCGACAGCCCTGCCCCCCCGCCGCCCTCCCAGTCCCGTCCCCACGGCGCGACGCCCCGGGTCTTCCTACCTCGGCGGCGGGGGCGGTCGGGCTCCCGGCTGCGGGCTCCGGCGGTCGGGGGGCGGCAGGGGAGCGAGCGGGGGAGGGGCCGGGGCGGGCGGGGGCCGGGGCGCGAGGCTCACGGGGCGCGGGCTCCCCTGGCACGGCCGCCCGGCTCCCGGCCGCTCCGCCACATCTGCAGCTCCGGCAGGGAAGGTGGCCGCGGCGGCCGGGCCGTGCGGGGATGTCTTAGAGAGGGAGGGAGGAGGGAGGAGGGAGGCGGCGGGAGGAGGGCCGGGCAAGCCTCGGAGGAGGGGGAGGAGGAGGGGCGCGGGGGGCGGCCTTGCTCCCTCCTCCCTCCCCCGCTAGTTCCCTCGCGCCCGCCCTCCCAGCAAACCCCTCTCGCCGCGGCGGCCCCAGGCCCGGGGCGCCAGCTGCCAGGCGGGGCGTGCGCGTCGGGGGGAGGGGGCGGCCGGGAGTCGGCGCTGGGCCGGGGGAGGGGAGGGAGCGAGGGCGGCGGGGCCGCGAGGAGAGGGTACCGGGAGGGAGGGGGCGCCGGGCCGCGGCGGAGCGGCGCGCGCCGCCTCGGCCCCATCCTCGGGTACATCCCCTCCCGCCGCGGCCCCGCCCCCGGCCCGAGGGCAGCGCTGGGACACGGCCCGGAGGTGGCCTGGGGGTGGCGGCGGCGGAGGGGGGGGGAGAGGGATGTCCCGCCCTTGGGGAAGCCGGGGGAGGGGGCAGGCGCGCCGTTGACCGGAGGGAGGGCGTGCGGGCCCAGAGGAAAAGCCCCGAAGACCGGGAAGATGGAGGAGGTCGCTGCGGCCGAGGGGGCGGGGGCCCCTCGCCTCCCTCCTGCGGGGTCACCTTGGCCAGGCCCCCCGCGGCCCCGGGCTGCGGGGAGGGCGGTAGGAATGCCTCTCCGCAGGCCCTGATTTCTCCGCCCAACCCAGTTCCAGGAACGCGCGGGCAGCGCCGGGCGGGCAGAGGCCCCGGCTCCGGATTCGGGGAGGCGCAAGCCAGGGTTCGAGGCCGGGATCAGACCCTCCCTCCAGGTCCCGGGTTGGTCCCCCCGCCCGTGGAATTAGGACGAGGTCCGGCCGGGAGCAGTTCGGGCTTCCGCTCGGCCCCAGGCTTGGGACAACCTGCGTCCCCAGCCTGAGCTCCGCCGGGGTCCTTGGTCTCGCCCGGACCCTCCGCTCCCGGCGTGGCGCCCAAGCTTAGGAGGTGGAAGGAGTGGATGACGGCGCGTGCTAAAGCCCAGCACCCGCCTAAACTGTCTTTTCCTGAAGCTTATCCCGGGCTCGCGTTCTTGAGTGTGTCGTGTTTGGGCCAATCTGGAGCCCCTGCCCAGTTATGTTCTCGCTGCTCTGCTGTCGGGTCGCAATCTTGGTTCAAAAACAGTCCTCCTGCTATTGGCCAGCCCTGCCACCTCACGGTTGGCCTTGAGTCCAGGAGAGGAAAAGCATCTTGTAGGTGAGGCATCTGACTCCCCGTGTAACTTTGTCCTCTTGTGTGCATTTGATGCCGCTGTCCCTGGCAGAGCAGAGGCCGGTGGGTCTCCTGGCACAGTTCTTGGCACATAGTAGGTGCTCAAGGCATTGTACGATGGACACAGGACAGGTGCTCATTACATGTTAAGCCAATGTACATGTTTCATAAATGGACACAGAATTCCTGCTCTTAAATTGTTGCATGGATGCACAGTAGATGCTTACTATATTTTGGGCAAATGGATACATGGTTGGTGCTTATGATGGTGGAATGAATGGCCACATACTAGGTACTCATGACCTACATGAATACATCAGAGTAGGTGCTCATGAACTTGTTGGGCGATACTCGAAGGACATGTAGGCCTGGAAAGGAGCGATTTGGAGGTGACCTCTCCTGCCCCCACCCCGCCCCGACTTCTCTACTGCGGATAATGTGGAGTGAGACCAGGTTAAACATTAGCCGGCAGATGGGCCTGGGGGCAGGCCAGCTTTGGGACCTAGCACCTTCCAGGAGGGGGCTGTTAAGGGCCGACTCTCCAGGTCCGCGCGGTGTGTGGGGCGGGGCAGGGGCTGAGGGCCGCAGAGCGCCCCCTCCCGGCTTCTGGAATCTCGACGATTCAGCCTGCAGCGCGGCCCAGCGGCTGGAGGCAAAGCGTCGTCAAACCTCCGTAGGTCCGCCTCCAGCCCTGGGGGAATCTAGGTATACTGAAAAAAAAGGTGTGCAAGAGGCTACTTTTAGGGCGCCTGGGTGGCTCAGTGGGTTAAGCCTCTGCCTTCGGCTCAGGTCATGATCTCAGGGTTCTGGGATCGAGCCCCGCATCAGGCTCTCTGCTCTGCAGTGAGCCTGCTTCCTCCTCTCTCTGCCTGCCTCTCTGCCTGCTTGCGATCTCTCTCTCTGTGTCAAATAAATAAATAAAATCTTAAAAAAAAAAAAAAAAAGAGGTTGGGGCGCCTGGGTGGCTCAGTGGGTTGGGCCGCTGCCTTCGGCTCAGGTCATGATCTCGGGGTCCTGGGATCGAGCCCCGCATCGGGCTCTCTGCTCAGCAGGGAGCCTGCTG